ATATTTTATTATATTTAAATATATTGTTCATTAGAGCGCATTTCTAAGTAACTCTGTCTTACCGACTGGTGTCTGGTTATCAGTGCTTGCAGGTCAGGTTTTTTTCATGTTCCTTTGCGTTCCGAGTCGAACATACGACTTCAAGGTGTGGAGCTTTGAAGTCTCAGTAGCAATGGTACTGTTTCTTTGCGGGGTGGGGTTGTTAGCCTTTCACCCAACCTTCCCTCTTTACCAGCCTTATCACCAGCTAAGCGAAGTCTGGGTGTTCGTCAGCCGGGAATAGAACCTAAAACAGGTGCGTAGTTGGTGAGCACTTTACTGTTGAACCACCAGTGCAGGTCACTTAGTGTACTCATTATGCCGGTAAGTAGATAGAATGCATTTAAGTGAGACAGGTACAATGAAACATTAACAGCACAACCAGTAGCTTACAATCTGAGCGAATCGCATCCAACTCTTCTGGAATATTAGGGTGAGATTGGTAACGGAACTGGTTAGACTTTTCAATACCAAAACTGATATTTGAAAAACCACGTAATAAAAGCCTACTTAATGTATGCAACAATCCTGAAGATATATTGCTTTCAAGTGTTGGTTTGTAGGGATTTGATTGGTTACAGGATTTTCATCATGAGCTGACATTAGTTAGAGAACCATTGGAAAACCTGGGAGTACTGGACAGCTGTTTCCTCTGTCCTAGTTTGGGACTCCTCATCAGTACGCACCCATCACCAGGGTTCGTACCCAGGACCTCCTGGTTACAAGGCGAGCTCGTAGACCATTAAACCACTGGAACCCAATGATCCAACGGCCAGTCCATGAATTCTAACTTCTGCCAATTCACGACATACCGCGACCCCTAGCCAATGTCTTCGGCGAGTATTTGTCCTCACGCCCGACCTGCTGCACCCTACTTGTCACGACTTCTCACTAGAACCCCAGTTACCGGTTGCGTTAAATGCATTCACTGCTAATATATAATTCCCAGGCTGCAAAAATATGATTCACAAACAGCAGACTGAATTTCGCTAGAGTGGTGGATGTGTTAATTGCCTGTTCATAATTCATCACCTGTTTTAACACTATTACAGATATGACAGGTTAATAATGGTTAATTTTGTGATTATGGAAAGTAAGAACAGTAACAGAATGTTTTATTTTTTTAAACAAAGCAATGTGAAGCAAAACTTGGTACGGTTACTTTAATCTGGGGTTAATTTTTCCACGTAATGATTGTTGACTTAATCAAATGACTATTTTTATTACTATGGACGTACCAGTTAGTGTGATTCAAAACTCCCATGAAGCTATACGAAGATTAAAAAAGCCGTAGAGCGGATGAATTTGCTCCAATTCACCGCTTTATACTTTCGACATTCACTAATTTAGTCTTCTATAGTTTGGTTTGTAAGGGTTAGTTATGTTTTTTTGAGGTCGCGCTAAATCACGAATGGGTAGAAGTTAGAATTCATGAGCCATTGAATTGGGTCCCACTGGCTGAATGGTATACGAGCTTGCCTTGTAACCGGAAGGTCCTGGGTTCGAGTCCCAGTGGGTACGTACTGCCGATGATTCCCAAACTAGGATGAAACAGTAGCTGTCCAGTACTCCCTGGTTTTCAATGGTTATCTAACTAATATCAATCCGTGATCAACTCTTAATTTAGTCTTGTTATTTACTCTCTAGTTTTTCAAAGCAATTTTAATTTCGATGTAATTCCAGAATATTCTCTAATGTAGGCGGATGAATTATTCAGGACAACAGTGTCAACGACACCAAGACTTGTGTCAGTATGTGGTAAGCCTAACTGACTTGTGATAACTGAGACAGAAAGAACATTAGTGTTGCGTGACTGCATAGCCCAAGAGATAATTGCTTGAAGCTTGTCAAACGCGACTTTTGGAGTTGCATTTATACTCAGGTCTTACCACCAGCTACGGAACGCCGCAAGATAAGTTGGGATTTACAATTTTCGGGGCTCACCTTTCACAAACACACTCCAACCTTATCCAGAGAGGAGAAGCAGCATAGCCGGCTTCCTGGTCATTTGAGGGAAACACCTTACTTCTATCACCAGTAATACGACTTGGTCCACAGATCTCCAACATAATGTGAACAACTTACGCTATGATGGAAACCATTTTAGTCTAACCGTTATCCGAACGAGGTTTGCGACATAGTAGGACCTGCAAGAAGATGAGTTCAATCCTGTGTAGCTCATTGGGATATGCAAGTAGCAGCTATCAGTCGGTAGTAACACGCCACCAGATATAGTACTGAAGTTCATTTTAATAAATAACTAATTAAATAAAGTATATGAAGAAAACTAATTTTGCGGTCAAGGTTGTTCAATGATAAGACGTGATTCATGTTTGTTAACAGTCATTATTTTTCAAGAAAGTAACACCATACATGATTGAGATGAATTATAGGCGTGCTAATTAAAAGCACACACGTCTGCAAATATTTGCTTTCCGGAGACACGGTGTATACACCACCTCTGAACTCTCTATATATCTTCCAACATAACGGCATTCGATTCAGTCAACCGAGAGGTACTAAGGCGATGAAGGGAATACCAAGAAAACAAATCGCACTGATCAAGGCACTCTACTCGAACTCAGACAGCCAGATGAGAGATGTCATCTGAAGTGTTGACAAACAGTGATGTCCGTGAGGGATGCCCACTATCCCCATTTCTGTCTGATTATATCATATATATACTAATGGACTTAACCCTAACTGACTTCAACGACTCAGGGATTGACTTGTTACCAGGGTATACTAGTCTTGTTTACTTAGAATATGCAGATGATATAGTCCTCCTAGGTGAAGACGCTGATAGAATGCAGTCTTCTGAACACCTTGAGAAGCAGCAATCTTCGAATGTTTGGTATGTGATTTGCTCCCGCCAAATGTGAGATGATGCTACAGAAATGGACTCCATCGACTCCTAGCCTAGAGATAGGGGGCGAAGTGGAGTGTGTTGAACACTTCACTAATCTAAGAAGTTGCATCAGCCCCAGTGAGTTGACCTCTGACTCGTTTTGCATATGCCGACTTACGCCATCTCTGGAATAGACGTCATATCTAGCTGTTGACCAAAAGGCGTGGGTACTGCTCAACAGTTCCCTCTTCATAGCTGCGAGACCTGGCCACTGAAAGTGGGAGACATGAAAAGGCTAGCTGTCTTTGATCATAGGTGTATGACCATCTGCCTCCCGTGTTAGGTGGCATAATAGGGTGAGTAATATTGAGGTTGAGCGTCGAGTGCTAGGCAAGGAGGGAGTATCAATAGACAAGGTTGTGAAGTTACATCAATTGAGATGGCTAGGACATGTGTTACGTATGCCTAGCCATCACCTTCCTTGACGGGCAAAGTTAACTGTCATAGGATCAGTTTGGGAAAGGGCTAGTGGTGGTCAAACCAAAACAGTGAAATCCATAACAGTTAGTTTAAGCCAGCCAGTCACGTCGGGAGGTGTAGATTTCCGGGTTGGGATCTCCGGGATGTTAAGAACCAATGACTGGAGACAATTGGTGATATGGCTCAAAATCCTCGTTCTCAATGGCACAGATGCATCCACTTTTCGTGATTTATCACATCCAATAAAATTCTATAGTTCTTCCATAATACTATTCTTTTTCCCTCACACTTCTGCTTATTATCTGTTTCTCTATTGAATCTCTCATTACTCTTTTCTCTTGCTTTGTGTGCTACATGAAGACAGTGTGACAATTCAAACTGCTGCACATCGGTGCAAAGTTCTACATCGAAACCAGTCAGTCAGTCAGTTTTTCAACATAAAACACATACAATTAAATATGTTTGATGAAAGTAATGATAAAAACAATTATGAACGGAGGCTATCATTATTATTACTTTTATTATTCATTTTTATCATTAACAAAATCAGTTATTTGAATTATCATTTATTCATAAATAAGAAGAGATGGGTAGTTTTTGTCGCTCTTTTTTGACATATACACGGGGGGGGGCGGTGAAGATTTAGTCTGTCTGTTTGACTAATGAATAACTTGTTGAATCATTTTTAGTATTACATCACCAAGATGATTACCGCTTATTGCATAATGTGTAGCAAACCTCTGTATGTATGTGCTATGGATGATACTTTTTCTAACAACACAGAATACGAGATGCACTTAGCTAGTCAAACACACTCAATTCAACCTTATATTAGATATTATTTTCTACAATAACAAAAAATGTCACCATCAATCGTCTGTAGATAATAAGGAGGAGGAAACTTAGAGTTATATTTCATTGACAGGCTGCTTTACAACAGATTTCCAATTCATCTCACCAGGACTATCTCTATATGCATGCAGATGTGTGTGTGTTTGTGTTGGTGTTTATGACATTTGAAGAAAGTGAAAACAATGAGACCAAACACACAGAAGCAGATCAAGAGACTGGAGAAGACAATGAGAGAAACATACAAAAAATGGATAGTGTAAACAATAGATGATTTATAAACAGTACAAATTGTGTAACATAAACGTGCACGCTCACACACATACATACATCAACAAAGAGACAGTGAACACTTCACATATGCATATTCGTATGGGGGGGGGGGGGGGAATCATCATGAAGAAAGGAACAAACAAGGCAGTCCATCATCTCTAATGATGTGCAATGAAATATACACAAATTATTGTCAATCCGAATAGAATAGTGAAAAAACAATCTGAAGAATTCTTCTCAAACGAAAGAGAAAAAAAACTACAAATCAATATTTGGGCGTAAACAGAGCTCCAATACGTAATAATAATAATAACGAATACCAGGAGATCTGAACACATAAATACATCGATACATTTCGAGAGAAGAGAGAGAGTTTGCATGTATCTCTTATGCATAAACTAATTGGAGTAGAAAATGTTGTTTGTTTGTTTTTTGTTGTTGTTTTTGTGGCTTTGTTAATGTGGTTGTTGTTCATGCTGCTGCGCTGCTATTGAGAACAATGATCCAGTAATTAATTTTGTTTAGCGTAAAGTTGAGTCCATTCACGTGCTTTTCATGATATAACAATGTATAAAAAGAAATAAAACAAAACACAAATAAATGCAAATGCGATTAGAATGGGATAAATTTTTTGTTAAAAATCAAGTCACTGTAAAGAAATCAAAAGAATCAGTTTAAGCATTCGGTTTTCAGTCGATAGGTCACAGGGTTCGAGTCCCACTCCACTTACCCCAGAGCCTAGTAGGGTAACTCTGTGTAGCATCATCAGCTCCCACACGATTGGTACGGCACATAGTCTGGCGCATGAAACATCTATGCCAAGTAATTGAGCTTAAACACAAAAAATTGTGCAACTACTAGTGAGAATATTTCCCATCAGAAAAGTTAAACGGTGACTCGTTAATATGTAGAACTGACTAATTGTAAACCACTTATAGGACAATGGATATCTACACTTATTTTTTCTTGTACTATGTTCAGATGAAAAACAGCACTTAAACATCGAAAAAATGGTCTCAATCTCTCGGTTACTGAGCACTCACAGTGATACGGTGGTGAGAAACTGTCCAAGTACTTAGACTAAAAACACTAAGACATCAATCATCCAGTTATATCACGGTAGTAACTTTTAATAAGTAAACCCCTGGAAAACCAGGGAGTACTGGACAGTTGTTTCGTCCTAGTTTTGGGACTCTACAGTAACACACACCCACCACAGGGGTTCAAACCTAGGACCTTCTGGTTACAAGGCGAGTTCGTAGACCATTAAACCACTGGAACCCGATGATCCAATGGCCAGTCCATGAATTCTAACTTCTGCCAATTCACGACATAGCGCGACCACTTCGCAAAGTGAGGACAGTTACTCATCGAAGACATTGCGAAGTGGTTGCGCTATGTCGTGAATTGGCAGAAGTTAGAATTCATGGACTGGCCATTGGATCATCGGGTTCCAGTGGTTTAATGGTCTACGAGCTCGCCTTGTAACAAGAAGGTCCTGGGTTTGAACCCCTGTGGTGGATGCGTGTTGCCGAAGAGTCCCGAAACTAGGACGAAACAGCTGTCCACTACTGCCAGGTTTACCAGTGGTTCTCTAACCGATGTCAGCTCATGATGAAATCTTCCAACCAATCAAACAAAATGCCTACAAACCAATATAAAATTTCAGTCTATCGGCTTTGCACTTCTTTCAAGCGTCTAGTATGAGGCTATCCCATTGTATGGCAAGAAAGGTTATTAGTCACAATGCATTCCATAATTTGTGGAATTCTATCACTACTACTAGAATCAAACATTAACATAACTTTAATATCTGGAAGGCTATACAATTCATTGAAAAGGTTAGTAAAATCTATGGAATGTACAGTAATATTTCTGATCACCATAGAATTCAGATAATTTTTTTATACGACGAATTCACAAAATGCGCTTTCTAGGGATTAATAACTGGTCTTCAGAGTAAAAGAAAAATGAATCAGTTAATAACTCAGTCAGGAATACTCTGCTACAAGATGGAGACTTCAGATGAAGTTATCGAACAACTTACAAATGGAACAGTTGGGATCAAAACATATCTTCCACATATACAATCTTTTGATTTATCTACTGATGTATAAAGGAAACCAACAACTGCTGGTATGTCAAGTTGATAGCAGTAGATATGGAATAGAGAAGCAGTTGTATCGATGGTATTGATTCTACCTCTACTACTTCAGTCTCAGTTATATTTAATGCATCTACCTTAGTTGGCTTTCTCCGCATTATGTACAATATCTGTAATTTAAAAGGAGGCAAGGTATCCATACCCAATAGTTTAAGTCTTGAGGAAAACTCGTGTAGAAGTATTATCTCGTATGGTGAGAATACTAGTTAGTTTGTGGAAGGCTGAGTTATCTTTACTAGATTGGTGCAGATCGCTGAATGTCCCAAATTATAAGGAAGGGGATAATGCTTCCTGTCGGTCGGTCGGTTTTCGACATAGAACTTTGCACGTGTGCGGCAGTTCAAGTCGCCACAATCCATGTAGCACGCAAAGCAAGAGAAGAAAGTAGCCACAGGGCCACCAACTTTAATGATGCATTAGTGTGTGTATCCATACGAAGGCTGGAAACCGAACCCTGATCGAGTGCATGGTTGACGAGTATTCCACCACTAAACCGCCTACGCAGGATTGCTATTTTGGTTTATTATTACCATGATTATTATGGTATTTCAACTTCCATTTTTTAATCTTCACTTAGTCATTACCTGCTAGGTTACACCCACATTTTCCGGAAGAGTATTTGACTGGTATTATGAATTTTTCTTGTCAAATGTAAATACGATTATATAGTTATAAAAAATGGTTCGTAGAAGAGAAAATCTCCTTTGCTGTTACGTCTTCTTTTGTCTATGACTCAGTACGAGAATTTCCCATTCATTGTCCGTCTATCTATCTGTATGTTTGAATTACACAACACATTTATCTCGCTAGTTAGTGTCAGAGTAGTTTCTATTTTTTTTAAATACGATCAAATCCTTGTAAATATGAACTTTTATAGTAATAATACAAAGAGACTCTAATGCAAACACTTGAGAATCATGCAAATATTTCATTGGCTCACCTTTAGCAAGAGCTTCTGGCTCATTTTGCTTCCAATGTGATGCAACTTCTCCATCTAATGGATCATCAGGATTTGGTGCACTTAGTAGAGCTTGAATTGAGAGTAGAACAGTGCGTATTTGAAGAGCGGGACTCCATTTATCTATCCAAGTGAGAGAAATAATGTTCATTTAAAGAAATTGGCTATTCGCGTACAAATTTGTATAAAACCTGTTCACTTCCTTAAACGTCGAATGAAAAAAATGAGTTTCATATTAGCAACCAACTGGTTAGAAACTTAGCACTACACAGACCCATTAGAATGTGTCGAACAGGTAAATAACAAAAAACACCCAACTTTTGAAACTTCAGTATAGCGAACAGTTTGAATTTATGGCCTAATAGTATATATATATATATCGTTTCGCAAGAAGACCAGAGAGGGGACGTGGCTCATTGGCTTCAGGACTCATTTTCGGCCGCTGGATCCTGGGTTTGAATCTCGTTCCACCTACCTCAGACATCGCAGCTAGGTAGTAGCGTCCACGCTCATAGCCTGAGACATGAAAGACCTGTTCTAAGAACTGAGTTTGAAGTGGAACTAAAAAAAGATCAAGATATTCAAGACAATTTTCATGCGACCACTTAAGGAACAAAATGTAAAGCTAATAATTTGATACACACTAACAGTACAAAAACTTCAGTTTATTCCTAATAATACAAATAATTCAAGGTTTACTTCTAATGTAAAACGTATGCTTACAGATATTGATAGACAGACCATAGTAATGACCAAAGAAATAGTTAGGAATTTCAAATGGTATATCTCAATGAAATATTATTATCAGTCTGCATAGACCGATAAATTCATTTCCAATTGTTATATTCATACATATTTTTTGAAGCAGCTGAGTAGATCAAGGGCGATTCTAGTTGGTTAGTTAGTTAGAAGTGTGCTAACAGCAACAGATTTCTTATATACAGGGTCATAAAGCACACTTACTGTGCGAACGTTGATGATAGCACTTATTTCCTTAGACTAAAGTATGTGGGGTAGGATTCCAAACCGGGAGCTATTAGTTGAAAGTAAATTGTTTAAGCCAGTGAGTCAGATCTCAAGCGTGATTCACCAAATAAGTACAAAGATTTCTTCAGGAGATATAGTCAAGAGTAGAAAAATTCAATAGCAAAGCTTAAAAGAAGTATCCACGCAAAGAAGTAATTCTCCTGATATAAACCACGTGAACTATTTCCATTATACAAGGAATAAACAATTACGTATTAGTGTGGGTGTCACACAGGTAGATAAATTCTAGAGTCTATTGCTTTAATAGAAAAAAACAACGACATCGCTTTAACACAGAGGACTACAAATCCAGATTTGAAAGTCAGCTTATTTTATGGAATAAAGAAGTAACATTTTCGAACTAATTACAAAAAGTGGATTTAATCGACAATAAGGTATAAATGAAGACTAGATGAAATTATAGGGAAGCAGAAACATATATAAAAAGAGGTGAATAAAGAGAAATACCTAATACTTGTAAAACATGTGAAATGAATGGAGACATTTTAGTGAAATAGGGTTCTCAAGCAAAATGTACCATTAGGCAATCGACTGTCGACACGAATGGTACAACCATGATAAACCACATATTTATCGCACTGACACTGTATGACCTTAAAATCATATTCCATTTTGTTATAGTCGGTAATATTCATTAAGATGCGATGTGAGATATATACTGCGGAACAAATGCTGTTTCTTATTTCACGTGGTCGGTCGGTCGGTTTTCGACATAGAACTTTGCACATATGTGCGCCACTTCAAGTCGCCACAATCCTTGTAGCACGCAAAGCAAGAGAAGAAAGTAGAAGAAATGCATAATATAGACAGTAAACAGAGGTGTGAGACAAAGGTATAGTAATAACGGAGAACAAAACAGTTTAATTGGAAATCATAAGTCACAAGGAGTGGATGCATCTGCACCAGCCATTGAGAACGATTTTGAGCCATGTCACCAATTGTTTCCAACCATTGGTTTTTACCATCCCGAGGACCCCAACCAGGAAGTCTACATCTTCCTACGTGGCTTAGACTAACTGTTGTGGATTTCATTGACTGGTGCCATGTTTTGGTTTGACCGCCGCTAGCTCTTTTCCAGCCTGGCCCTATATCAGCTAACATTGCCCATCGGTCGAGGAAGGCGATGACTAGGCATACGTAGCACATGTCCTAACCATCTCAGTCGAAGTAATTTCACCGTTTCGTCGATTGATTTCCCCGCCTTACCTAGCACTCGACGCCTAACCTCAATATTGCTCACCTTATCATACCACTTCACACAGGAGATAGAACGCAGACACCTATGATCGAAGACAGCTAATCTTCTCATGTCTTCTGCTCTCAATGGCCAGGTCTCACAGCCATAAAGGAGGACGGAGCGGACTGTTGAGCAGTACACACGCCCTTTGGTCGATAGTCGGATATCGCGTCTACGCCAGAGACGGCGAAAACTGGCGTATGCGAACCTAGCCCTCTGTATTCGTGCTGAAATTTCGTCTGAGATCAACCCGTTGGGGCTGATGGTACTTCCCAAGTAATTGAAGCGGTCAACGTGTTCTACCACTTCACTTCCTATTTCTAATCTAGGGGTCGATGAAGTCCAATCCTGCAGCATCATCTTACATTTTACAGGGGCGAATCGCATGCCAAACATACGAAGATTGTTGCTCAGGGTGTTCAGTAGACTCTGCATTTTGTCAGAGTCCTCGCCTAGAAGGACTATATCGTCTGCATATTCTAAGTCAACGAGATTATTCCCTGGTAGCAAGTCAATCCCTGAGTCGCTGAAGTGTGTTAGGGTTAAGTCCATTAGTACGTCTATGATGAAGTTGAATAGGAATGGGGATAATGGGCATCCTTGACGGACGCCACTAGTCGTCACCACTTCAGATGACAACTCGCCATAAGCCCTCACCTGGCTGCATGAGTACGAGTAGAGTGCTTTAATAAGTGCAATGTATTTTCTTGGCATTCCCTTTACAGCCAAGCATCGCCAGAGAACCTCCCGGTCGACAGAATCGAATTCCGCCTTTAGGTCAAGAAATATAATGATTGTCGGACGCCGGTAGGAATGCCTATGTTCTAGAATCTGTCGAAGGGTGAAGATATGATCAATGCACCCTCTTCCTGGCCTAAAACCTGCCTGGTTTTCTCGTGTTTGTGTCTCCCGAGCACCACTTAGTCTACGCAGTATTATTGAGCCTAGGATTTTAGATACTGTATTAGTCAAGCTAATCCCTCTGTGATTATCACAAGAAGACTTGTCTCCCTTCTTGTATATCGGGATGATCAGTGACTTACACCAACCCGATGGGACTTCCTCTGATTCCCAGACAATGCCTAGAACCTCAGTTAACGCAGACAGTAAACTGTTTCCACCGTAATTAAATACCTCTGGAGTCAGTCCATCAGGTCCCGCTGCTTTGCCTTGCTTCAGATTGGTGACAGCTTTAGTAACCTCAGTTAAGGACGGAGGACCTGTGTCTATCTCCCATTCAGGGAGGTGTTGGATGTCCGGTAGGTTAAGTGTGGCTGTGGGCCAATTAAACTGCTCCTCATAGTGTTCTTTCCAGCGCTCCAGACGTCTATCCTGGGAGCTAATTATGGTGCCATTTTTCTCGGAGATTGTTTCGCTTATCATTTGCCTTTTACCACCTGTTTCCCTGATGAGTTTGAAGAGTTGTCTGGTGTTGCCTATCACCGATGCGTTTTCCATCTCTTTCGCCTCTGTCAACCACCACTGTTCACGGTCCTTGCGGAGACTTTTCGTAAGTTTCCTTTTGTGCAGCTTTCGCTCCTCATTGAATTCGGAGCTCGCCGGAATAAGTCTTCTAGCATCTATCAGTTAGGATGAGGCAGTCGAAATCCAATGGTTTTTACTCACCCTTGGATTTACCTTATTCACAGCTTTTACAGCTGTATCTATGGCTGAATATTCTTCCAGGCTTCTTCAGGGTGAGCGCAGCTGTCGAACTCAGATATGTGTTTAGCTAGTTCTTCCTCAAATAGGGACTTAGTTTCCTGATCGAGCTGGGGACGTGATGGGTTTACCGCCAGCTGTTTCCTATGTCCGTTCAGTCGTAAGCACACACGAGCGCGGACCAGTGCGTGATCGGTATCTACACACGTGTTCCAGAAGGAGCGACAATCTCCTACCGACCCACGCCAACGATAGCTAATTGCTATGTGGTCTATTTGTGTCCAGCGTTGATTTGATGATGGGGGTCGCCAGGTCAAAGAGTGTCTCTCCTTGTGTTTGAAGTTAGTGCTTACAAGAAACAAGTGATTATCTGAACAGAACTGTAGGAGACGGTCACCGTTGTCGGTTCGCTGGCACGGAATTCCGTATGTGCCACTGACATTCTTCTCAGATTGACACAATTTCCCTACTTGAGCATTAAAGTCACCAGCTAAAACGACTATATCTGAGCGTTTAGCCTTTCGCAGCAAACTAGACAGCTTTTGGTAGAACTCATCCTTCGTTTCACGTGGAATGCGGATGATAGTGAGAAAACCAGCTAAAATGAGATATGTAAGAACCAGTATTCCAATTCACAGAGATTATTAAATGTATTCCATGCTTTCAAATGAAAAACGGACAAAAAGTTGAACTATCGGTTTGCTGATACACCGCAACCTCATGTAAGATGATATCGTAGGGAAAACTGTCCTGACGTAGCTTGTGAATAGAAAACTTCTTCATAGTAGAAAGAAAATTGGATATCCATCCCAAAGTGACATTTGTAGCAGGCCAATATACACAGATGTTACATGCATAACATACTGAAAACTTACTTCCAAAAAAAGTTAATATTTCCTCGGTGAAAAATCACAAACCAAGTAATATAATTTAATATTCCCCACTGTAACATTAGGAACACAATATTTAGGGAAGAGACTCTTAAACGACTTTGTTATCAGGCTGTACAAAAGTGAAAGGGTGAATGGGAACGTCTAGCGTTTTCAACCGGACTGGTGGACATGCTGGTCTACTTTGGAGAGCTGGAAAACCCTGATTCCAAATGTATGATATACATGGGTTCCAGAACGCGGGCGGATCGAATGGTGAATGAACCTGCTTTGGTCACCGGGAACCATGGAACGAAGTTCCGTTGCCTTACAGATCAGACTTCACGCCAAAGCCTCGCAGGTGGCCCCTCAAGAAAACCACCTGCTCCAGTCTGGGCAGTATCCCAGCCCTTACCTTAACTATGAAATTTTGTGTGGTGTATCTTTTGAAGTTCATAATGTACCAAGTTGTTTTAAAAAATAAATAATGTACAACATAAACCTAGCTTACCTTTAAGGATATCCAAACAAATTCTCCCAAGCTGATCAACATTTGGATGGTATAATTTAGTTGTGAAACGGACTTTGGGTGCAGTCATAGGATAATCCTCTGGAAGAAACAGCTCCAAGTTGAAAATACCTCCCTCATATGCACTGTCTTTGGGTCCATCTATAGATACCAAGAAATATCTTGCATTATTTTCGTCTGGTACAGCTTTTATACCATCACAAGGATCTTGGATAAGTTTCTGAGTTTCCTACAGTCGGTTTCAATATATATTACAAGCTACCAACTTACCTTGATTATTCTTTTGGGGAGGGATGCCATTAGCTAGTCAATGAAAAGATCTGAAACGAATGATATTTAAGAATAATTTTAGAACAGTTGATAACAGTCGAATAAGTAAGAGACCATAAGAAAAATGCCAAGTAAGCTTATTCAGTAAAGTTAATTTGCTTACTGAAACACATTTTAATAACCACACAAAGCAGTCTTGGCTAGCGAAATCTGTTACCCTTTAGGAAAATGGCTAAGATGTTAAGAACTCTTGAGAATTTATAATGCAGTTTTACTACATTAACAGTGAATCACTGGCTCGAATCATTATGAATAGAAGTTGGAAAAAACTGTATGAAACGTAGTGAAAAAATCGAGTAAAGGAGGGAAATAATAAACAGATACGTTCTTTACGTGAATGGAAAACTATGGTCGGTGGATACTTTCTGGTTGATTGCAATAAGAAAAGTTATTGCATCTAACAGTACTCCAGACAGAACATTGATTCCACCATGTTAGAACCCAGATGGTGTTTGCTTGAGGAAGACAAAACGCCACCTGTTTGATGTTAAAATATATAGAGTTAAACCTTACGAGAAATCCTACCATCAACTACAGATCACTTGTCTGAAATTGTTGTGTCATTGCAAACAATGTAGTTATTTGGATCTTGTAATATATAAACACCAAAAAGTATATTATTCAGAAGTCCTTACAAATTCCAGTCATCTGATTCCAATTATTGAAGATCATATTTAAAAACAAGGAATCATTTGACGAGACCTATCAGTAGAGAGAACTCCTCAATACAACCACTAAGTAGTGATGTTTCGTAGAAAAGACTAATTCACCATCATTAAATGCAACTAATACTTCATATTATATCAGATTCTCAATTATCAATTCTAAACATCTTTGACATGCCAGATAGAGACGGGAAACATTGCGAAGAAACCTGCTTAGAACTCGGAGACGTTATGCTATTTATGAATAATAACTACTTCCAAGATTCCTATACCTCAGGAGAGCAGATTGCTGCATTCCTTGTTATAAGCAGCACCTAAGTTGATGACAGCTGACAAATATATGAGGGCTATGGTTAAGTCCGTCAGTTAACGCAGTGTCATGACTGACGTCGTCCCTCCATTAAGTGAAATGACCAACCACTTCGCTGTTCATCCATTAAAATCAGGAGAAACCAAATATATTCGTGTGATTGCTATCCCATTACACAACTATACTATGTGTACTTACAAAAGATCCATATCTCAAAGTGAAATTTTTCTGAGCCTTTTATTATATCACGGAAGCTGTCTGAGGTTTATTACCTTTACGATTTGGTCATATGAGAGTATTAATTTCTCAGATACTAACTGACTGAAATATATTAGTTTTACTAAATGAGCACTCAATTTGATTATTTTAATAATGTAACAGTCTTGAGAGTTTTTACTTCAATGATGTTTAGATTAATATGCCTTGCACTCAGATGAGTAATATTCAGTCGCAGAAATTCCGCTGTAATTCAGAAAAAGGACTTAAGGTTGACTGTGTAAAGCTGGTGAAGTACAAACATTGGTTTAAAACAACCAAAACCGACACCAACATATACTGTTGTCAAGCTTTATTCTTAGCTAGTTAATGAATGTGACATCCCACATACAGAAAAGCTTTTATCATTACTGGTAAATGATGCACTTACTATCAGGTTATTTTAACTCTTAACCATCTAGACAGAGAAAAAGATAGTAGTCTTACTATTGATTTTGTTTACTGAGAAATCTAATTTAGTTTTGGACAGTACGATTTATCTCTTAATGTAGATATAATTAAAGCAATGACTTTAGACGGAACCTATGGTTTTGTATGAAAATAATTACGGCATTGTTCGACTTTTAAAGCCGCAGCTTCACGTTAATGAACTCGTCGGAATATTAGGCCACCGACCACACCTACCCTGTGGATGTCAATCGTATGAACTGCATCCTAGAACTGAGTAAGTTGAAGAATATTCCACATAGGGATCAGATACTAATTTTGCATACATGCTTTTAACACTGCCACCTAGTGTGTCATAATTCCAGAAACTATTCGAATTCCAAAAAATAACTAGTTCATCAGAAAAAGCTATGATCGAAACTACTTGGTAACTTCGAGCTTTAGTTCCATATGGAGCTACATAAAGATTTACATTTCATTTCACCTGACTGGCCCATTTCTGTTAGAAAATGCCACAGAGATGTATATTTTGCAAGCAAGTGCAAGTGGTGATAGCCATAAACAGCGATATCTATTAAAGGATACACAGACGAACTACTTACACGGAAACCAACGCACTCCCGAACCGCGTCAGGAAATATAACGCGCGTCAAAATCAAACTTCAAACTACTTAGTTGACTGGAAGTTTTTCGTGTACTGCGTCTTCTACGTCATTCTGTATGTAAAAAATTAACAATTAACTCTCCCACCAGTTATGCGGTTAAAAAATACTTGGTTACGAATCATATAACTGCTGATTTTGGGTTTCTTTTCTCTGGATTTAGTTCTCATTTGGATGCTCTCTGTGATGTTTCCATTTTTAGTCTGATTTCTAATCCTAGATTTTGTGCACAACATCATCGTTCCTGGCTTAGCTATAAGTATCCAGACAGATCAATAAACTTTTCTCAGGCAACCTTAAAATTTATCCTGTAGAAATACATAGAGAGGAAATACTTCCCTACAGTCTAGCTGCCCATTTTGTACTTTGGCAAGAGTGCTCACAATTTATGCAACCCACCAAATTGGTAGGTACCAGTACATATGCTTTGGTGAAAAATTTTAGATATTACGAAACAAGAACACACCCAACCTAAGATTAGTAAGAGAAGTTATTTGTTAGGGATGGAGTGTATACGAACTGCATTTTTTAATAATAACAATAATTTCTTTTATCCCAAAACATTCCTAATGTTATAGAGTGGAATTTTCAGCATCTAGTACAATATTACATCTCATTTTATCGAATAATAGTAAAGACAGTCATAAAGATAATATTATTTGGTATTAGTAATGATATTAAGATCATAAACAAAAAGTGTAAAATAATGATATTGATGTTTGTAGTTAAGATTATCAGTCAATTATATCGAACAACATTAAAAACAATTTTAGGAATACTATTATAGGATTGCTGATGACGGTTCTTATATGGTATTTGTTGTGTCAGTGAAGTCATTTTTAAATATACAAAAAATAATAATATGGTTATTAGCTACGATTTTCGGTTGATTGAGGCGGTGTCACCATATATCTTATCATGAGAGATAATAAGAGGACCAATTATTTAGCAAACAACTCAGTTATTCACAAGTTTCACGCTTTACACTGTCTTTATCACACTCAACACGGGCTGGCCAAATCTGGTGATTTTCAGTTCTGTAGCGGTAAATAATTCCCCAAAATTATTGACCACAGCAATCATCACTCAACATTGGATGCTGACCCTCACTGTTTAAGTCGACTTGTTTAGCTGAAGGCTTCCGGTCAAGCATCCCCGCCATTTGGTACTCCGTCGTGTCACGTGCGTGCACGATTACTAGCTAGCTAAGCATTCACCTCTACCCGCGATTTTGTCCCGAAATATACTACGTACTTTGGACGACAAAATCTGGTCTTTTGCTTTATCTTTGGTACTCGAAGAACGAACACTATAGAAGTTGTTGGTATAAGATCTTGCGTTAGTATAATCCGTACAACTCGCGAACGTCGATACCTGCAACCTCTAAACTGGTGAGCCCAACCACGAACTACATCTTCAATTCACACGCAGATAAACCCGGTGAGTTCGTTCCTTTTTGTGTTTATTCTTGTACTATATTGTTATCGGCATACTTTTCGTCATGAGTGATCCTAGCCCCAAGGTTATTCGGATTCGCTCAACCGCCAAAACAATTCAGCTAGTACCATATTGGCCAGATAATGCTGAAACGTGGTTTCAGATTGCTGAGTCTGATTTTTGTGAACATGGCATAACCGATCAACGTTCACAGTTCCTTGCAGTTATTCACGCCCTACCGCGGGAATTCAGCAGGTGCGTAACTCTGCAGATGTCGGGTCCAGAGGTAAGTAACTCGTACGAGTTGCTCAAAGCATCCCTCCTCAAGAGAAACGTTCTCACGGATCGACAACGTCTGGATGAATTATTTCGTAACATCGAGTTAGGGGATCAGTCAGCCGTGAGCATGCTGGCAAGAATGAAAGAGATCATTGGCCAAAGTCAGTTCGACGAAGGACTGTTCAGAGAACTATTTTTATCCAAACTGCCACAGTCAGTTCAGACTGTACTTGTGACACTTCAGGGTGTTCTCATGGATGACTTAGCTGTCTCTGCAGATAGAATTCTAGAGATAACGAAACGGCCAGTTACCGAAGTATACTCAGTTACCGAACAGACTTCGAGTAAGGATTCTGCAATGATAGAGTTATGCAACTCCGTCCAGCAGATGCTTAGGTCAAACAAGCCTAGCAATTCCTCCTACCGTCGTTCTAAATCCCCTCAACGGCAAAACGCACGTGGACGATCTAAGTCCAACACACGTTCTCTCAAAAATCCTGACTGGTGTTGGTATCACAACACCTATGGCCAGGAAGCGAAATGTTGTCGAAAACCTTGTGATTTCGGCAAAGCCTCCAAGTCTGTGGGAAACTATCCCGCCGGCACGCGTTAGCGGCAACCGTCGCCGGTGGCACTAGCCGCTTACTTTACATCCATGATGTAATGAGCCAGACTAGATATCTAGTCGACACAGGCGCCGAAGTCAGCGTCCTTCCTGCTACAGCAGCAGATCGACAGAAGGATCCTAACTTCAACCTACAGGCTGCAAATGGAAAACCAATTGCAACCTATGGTCGGAAATACGTCTATCTGAACGTAGGTTTACGCAAACCTATTCAGTGGATTTTCCTTATCGCTGACGTCACAATGCCCATCATCGGCACGGACCTACTTAATCATCATGATTTGCTCGTAGACGTCCGCCGTAAACGACTAATTGACAACACTACTAGT